TGTTTTGTATTATAGTCATGTAAACACATAAGTACTTTCTGCAGAGCAAATAAGAGTACGTAATCAAGAAATACTTTGTTCCAAAGCTTCTTTAAATTCTTAAAAAATTTTATTCCTTTTAAATTTAATATAATTTACTAACGCTTTTTAAATTCTTTAAAACGAATTGCCTGTAACTTATAACGATGTTTCTGCTTTGTGTTATAGTCATGTAAACACATAAGTACTTTCACTTAACAAGGATATCCTGTTTATTTCATTAACTAGGAGGATCTTGACCCAACTCTGGGAGGCAGTGGAAGACAGGAGGGCCTGGCATGCTCGGGTCCATGGGGTCATGAAGAGTCGGACACAGCTTAACAACTAAACAACAACAAAAGGAGGACCTTACTTTTGGAGGAACATTTATTCAAAGATACATATAATTTCAGTGAGTCTTTTTAAATTATTCAATTGTAATTCCCAACTATTTGGCAGGACGTGGAACAGTGAGTTACTTTTAAAGATGTTCCCCTGTCCAGCTCCCTGGTTTTGCTGCTTTTGTGACTTCCTCTTTGCCTAACAACTAATCAACAACAAAAGGAGGACCTTACTTTTGGAGAAACATTTATTCAAAGATACATATAATTTCAGTGAGTCTTTTTAAATTATTCAATTGTAATTCCCAACTATTTGGCAGGACGTGGAACAGTGAGTTACTTTTAAAGATGTTTAAGTCCCTGAATCTCCCAGCCTGGTGGCCACATTGGCTGGAGGATTCTGGAAGGTGTAGTCACAAACAGTAGCATTTCCATGTTCTGGTCTCAATATTATTACTTTAGTTCAGAGTTAAATTTGTGGCAGAATCCTTGGAGCAACTTGGCTTCACTTTCTATGAATAATGGTCATTTATTTCTCTTAGGAGATCTATGTAGCATGCAAACACTGGCATACAGCACCTGTCATGTAAGGCAGTGGTCCTCAACCTTGGGCCTCCAGGTGTTCTTGGACTACAACTCCCAGAAGCCTTCACCATCACCTTTGTTCGCCAGGATTTCTGGGAGTTGAAGTCCAAGAACATCTGGAGGCCCAAGGTTGGGGATCACTGATGTAAGGCACTGATCATCCTTATTATCATTGGGTTTGTGTCTATAAATTCAACACATGCAGCTTTTCTATTATAGAGCCTTTCTATCTTGCCAGTGACAGTGAAGACCATACCTCTGTATTTCTGTCAAAGTGCCTATCTGGAGAACATCTGGTAATTAAGCAACATGTTGCACAAGTATCCACCCAAGTCTCTAAGTCTCTCGGCAACATTTCCTTATACACAGTGACTGCAATATTTCTTATTATTTGAAGTTCTCTTCTTAGAATGTTTGATAGGGTTATTGGTCATCCAGATAATATATTCTTCAGCAAGTATTTCTGTTGAACTTTGGGCATTAATGTGTACTATATCTTTGCCTCTCAAGCACAAGCAAAGACTTGCATACCTACACCAAGTCATTGGAAAAATTAGAAGTGTTGGCTTCCAATGGTATTTCTTTCAGCTACTGACTGCTACTGTTAGAAAATTATTATTGAGCTTTTACTCTAATGCAAGGATGTTGCATTCTTTAATTTTTAGCAACTCTGCTTCTATTTTTTTTTTCAGTTGTCTGTCTGGGAGAAACAGGGGGAAATGTTGGCTTATGGCACTTCAGATTGAATCAGATTTCTGTCAACCGCTGAAGTGAGTGCTAGTTTGGAATAGCTTTTTTCTTCTATGGCATAATAATCAATTTTTTAAGCTCTGATTTGCAATCCATAATATTCAAGCTTTTGCTGCTATGCCTTGGGTTTTGTATTTTTGGGGGGAGAATATCTCCCCTCCCCACCGTTCCTCATAGCTGTCTTAGATTGTATTTTTTAAATAAAAACATTAATAATGTTATTTATTTCAAAATAACACAGTGGCCAAAATCCTGTTCCTTAGCACAGTAAATCACACTGGAGTAGGCGCATTGAATCAATGGAGATCTGGTGAGTCAGCTGTTCTATAAATTCCAATAATTCAAATGGGCCTGCTCTAGCTGATACTTACTTTGGCATAGCAAGTTCCACTTTGAGTAGGCCCACTTGAATCAGTGAACCTATGGGAGAATTGACTTACTAAAACCACATTGACTCAACGGGCCTACTCTAGTGTGATTTATCATACTGAACAACAAGATTTTGGCCAGCAGCTTTCATCCAACATTCTTTGAGTCAGCAAAAATTAAATGTTCTTTGTGTCATCCAGCACTAGGATTGCTCTTTCCTTAAAGTCTAAAAACTCTGGTCCATTATACAATATCTAAATGCTCTGATTACATGCTACAGATAGCCTCTGTGTATGAAAGTATTCTTTAATTGCCTAGAACATCTGATTATCACAGCAGGAGCTTTTCATACCTGCTATTGTTTGCAAATTAGCTTGTTTTGCGCTTAGCCTTTGGTATTAGCCTTCATCTGCCAGTATGATACAAATCTTTGGGACATATATACTAACAAAAATAAATACATTTTAAACAATTGTGAGGTGGGCAACATTTTCATACTCAGGGGCCACATATGGCAGCAATGGTTGATAGGCTGAAGGTCACATGACATGGGGGGCAATTCCTGGACCATCATAGAATATGGACAAGGCAAATATCGTTCCCACAACGCATACAGAAATTTATTCTGACACAAGAGTAACTACATATTAAATTAGACTCCACCCCATTTTGTCTCTATTTCCATTTCCGACAAAGCCTTCCTCCAGTGCATTCTCTTACACACAGACACACTTACATGTTGTCTTCTCCCTTACCCACCTAACTCACAGGCACAAAGACAGCTTTCCTCCCTCCATTCCTCTTCTTTTTCTCAGTTACACCCTGCCAGAAAAAGGCAGATACACCCCACCCACATATTTCATGATGTTGCAATGGAAGGATTTCATGTGTTGAAATCAAATCTCACTGCCCTTCCTCCCCACTGCCAAGCTGACTGGTGCTGGAAACAGTTGAAGAGCAGCCCTCAGCTCTGTCCAAAACCAATTATTTGGGCGCATGTGGATTTCAGGGGAGAGGGTAGTGCAAAGGCCGGCTTTCCTCTTTCACTCTCCTCCCCATTAAAATCATGCCCTCACAGCCTACTAAACAACTGGTTGTCAGTCTGCACAGCCCCATTCTGATTGTGTGCATGGAGAATAATCCAGGAGAACTATCTTTCCCCATCAGAACTGCAGTTTCCTAGTGCACTGAACAGTGGAGTGTGTGTGTGTAATTTTTATGGAGAGATTGGCTCAGGGACAATTCCTCCTGTGCATTTTTCTCCCTATGTAAGTCATACCCTCAACATGCCACCAAGCAGCATCTTGATAGGCTGAGGGACTACAATATACAGAAAATGAGAAAGATGGAATGGGGGAGGGCCTTCCCCCCCACTATCTTGCACATTTAAATAATACTCTCCCCTGCCCAATTGATTGATGCAGATGAAGGCCAAGCAGCCCTTCAGCAGGGTGGGGTGCGGATGGCAGTGGGCATTTCTGGATGCCTCTGTGGGCTTCCTGTGGCCCAACTGCGTGTTTTTTCAGGCTTTCTGGAGAGACAGGAGACCCTACGGAAAGCTGTGCCAGATGATGCTCTCCTCTTCTTGCAGCTCCCACATTGCTATTACATTTGTTGATGTAGATTATATTGATTTTAAAAAGCTATCAAATATAATAAGCTCCATGAGTGGTGTACAATCCTTTTTGAAACAGAATACAGGGTGCAGGGAGGGGGAATTAAATAAGTAAAAGAGACAAACAAGCCTCAGTGTAAAACTAGCAGAAAAATACAATGCTACCAAAATAAAAGGGAAAGGGAAATCCAGCACAATAAAGAGAAATCTAAATGAACAGTTACAAGGGCTTAATGCAAGAGCTGAAACAACCCACTCATGATAAAGATTAAAATAAATGTTTCGAGACCCCCCCATCCCTGCCAAATGACTCCAGCCTTCTTACTACATCACAGGATCAGGCAAATTCCCAGCCTCATCATAGCTTGTGGAGGGAGGAGAGCTTGTTGTCACCATCATGATATGAAATCAAATCACTTCTGATTTATTAGTTATGATTATCCCTTCTGTTCACCTCTTCCAAACTCAAGGCTATGGCTTCTTTTATTGAATCAGTCCATCTCATGTTTGGCCCTCCTCTTTTCCTACAGTCTTACACTTTCCCCAGCATTACTGTCTTTTCCATGTCTTCTCATGATGTGCTCAAGGTAAGGTAACTTCAGTTTTGTTTCTACAGAGAGTTCAGGCTTGAGCTGAACAGCAAAGGTCTTTTACAGTATCACATACATTTCAAAGGAAATCTAGAGGATTAAGAGGGAGACTGTGGCAGCAACTCCTGTCAGAGCGTTTCTAATTTAGGGATAAGGTGTATTTTTAGGATTCGCAGGGGAACTATAGAGTGAATGAAATGAAGTGGGTGGGTAGAGTGAGACAATACCTATTGTGTATTGTGTATGAATGAACACTTGTTTAGGTGAACTACAGAGTGAATGAAATAGGGCGGGGCACAGTAGGGCAATATCTGGGTGACCTTATATTGTATATTCATGAATCAGCTTTTGCCTCTGTCAGTGTGTTTATCTTGTGTGTGCCTTTCTCTGGCACATTTTATCCCCTGCCCCGCCTGACTCCTTCCCGCATTGGCTGCTTCGCCTTCCACCCCACCAATCACAACGTTCCATTCGCCTTCGCTACCGTTGCCTCAGGAGCTGTCAGAAGGACCGTGGGGGCGGAGTCCGTTATCGGTCGCGTCCATTGGTTGGAGAGGTAGGGGCGCGAGCCGCTTTGACAAGAAGGCTGGGCGTGGCACTTTTGTGCCCGATGGGCGAGGTTAAAAAAAGAGCACGCCTTCATTCCTCTGAGTCGAAGGGGATTGGTAGACTCTCCTGTCAGGCCGGCCGGCCTTACTGCGCCTGCGCAGACCCCGCCCCTCTCCCCCCCCAATGCCGTGCCGCCTCCCTTTGCCTCAGACACGAGTTAGGTTTCGAGCCGTGAGGTGGTTTGGCGGGGAGGCTCCCTCACCTCAGCGCCGCCTGCCTGAGGAGAAACCCGCCCCGTTTCGGGAGGCGGAGGACCGTGTGAAAAGAGGAGGATGCCACGGCTGCCCCGAGCCTCTTGGAGCGGCTGCGAGTGACTCACCCGCTTCCCTCCTTACTCCGAGAGCGCCGCGGGAGGGACGAGGGGACGGGAAAGAAAGGCGAGCGAACAGGGAGCGGCCGCTGAGGAGGTCTTGCCGCGGGAAGGCGAGCAGGGAGAGGCTCCATGAGCAGCGCCTTCCTCCCGTCCGGGCAGCGCCGCCCTCCGTCTTCCCAGCGCCGGTAGCGCGGCCGCCGCCGCCGGGCCCTGAGCCGAGAGGGGCGGC